GCGTGTTTTAAACTTGGTACATGAAACAATATCATTACAAATCACCCTGCAGAGAAAGAGGACACACAATCACACGAATATGCGAAGGTACAAATTCGCCGTGCGGCTTTCAAAAGACTCTAGGGGCAAGAGCTGTTAGCGAGCACCGACGGTCGTACACGAAGACCAGAACGGCACACGAGCGGGTGGGTGGGTGGGTGGCCAGCACCTCGCCCGGCCTCCGTTGAGTCTCCAGTGTCGGTGTTTCACACAACGCGCCAGGCCCTCGTTTAAGGCCGAGTTAACCCATGACCGATTAAGAAAATTGTTCGCGATGTTGGCCGTGAGCGGGAATCGAATTCGGGTCGCCGGGTTCGCAGCTCAGTACGATAACCGCAACACGACCTCTCCCCCCCCCCCCACAGACACACAGACAAAACAGCACACACAGACACACAGACACACAGACAAAACAGCACACACACACACACATGCGAAAGATACAGACGCAACGCAAAAACAAAGGCCCCGCGTATCGCCTAGGCAGGCTGTACAGGGGCGGCGCGTTGGCAAATGTTAACTTCTTCGCCGAGTATGTAGAAAGTCGTGGGTTCGATCCTGGCCCTGACGCCTGCTGTATATTTGGAGTGTGCGTGTTTCTCTCTTTCTCCCCGTGGTCGTGTGGATTTTTCTCCAGGTCCTCCGGTTTTTCCCTCCACATGTAGCATCAATACCACGGGCTTAAGAGTATTTGGCTGCTATAAATGTCCACGTGATGATAAGCCACTTCGTTGAGCTATCATTTGTGGCCAGGTCGCTTCTGAAAAAAATGAAAGAGCTATATGGCTCAGCGGCCTTACCTGGTAAAATAAAACAATTAATTGTTTACTAGTTTAATGCTTCATTGGGGGGGAAAGTGTTTTCATCGAGCGCCGATGAACACCGGCGCGGAACACGACGGGGTCAACCGCGTCCTGCACCACACCCCCGACGCCCGTCTCCACCGCTGTTCCGTGTCTCGTCATCGGCGACGCGTTGAGAGCGGCAACTCACACAGCGTCGCCCTCCAGGTTGGAGGGCGTGGGGGAGACTTCCTCCGTACGTCGAACGATCGCGGACTCCGCCACCTCGCGTGCGAACACGGCGAGGTGCAAATCACCCGGGGGTCTACCACCGATGACTGTCACAATGCATGCCGCCGTGTATTCTGCTGGAAGAAGCGGACTGCTCCGCTCAGTTACCCCAATACAACCACGCTGAAAACGAGTGAAGAACGCCGCTTTATTTCCCCAGCTCGTCTTGCCTCGCCGTGGTGACGTAGCCACGGGACACAAAGGCGTGAAGTGTATTTACACGAAGAGGCAGAGAGGAAGCGAGCGAGCGCGCGTTAATTAACCCCTATCGGTAGAAGTCGAGGCATTGTCGTCGTTTTTGGTTTGCTACTTTTTTGTTTGCTGAAGCAGATAACGTGTGGTGACTCCCGTTGGGTACAGAGAGGGTTGCTTGTGTGAGTTAATTAAATCAAACACATGACACGCACACAAGATTCCCCGTATAGGCTTAACACGCCTTTGGGGCAAGTGCTGTTCGCGCGCACCTATGAAGGCCGGCACGGTACACGAGGAGGGTGATATCCCAGTGGTGTTGACACACCGCACGCCGTAGTCATTTGAGGCTGAGTCGATCTAGGGGAGGCCCAGGACCGATTCAAATAATCGTCACTGGTGTTGGCCGTGAGCGGGAATCAAACTCGGGTCGCCGGGTTCGTAGCGCAGCGCGTTAACCACTGCGTCACCGCGATCACAAACACATTCACACACTAACGACTATCTCTCTCACACACGAACAGCTAGTGTGAGTTTTCACTGTGGGTGAGTATTCACTATGGGTGAGTATTCACTGTGGGTGAGTATTCGATGTGTGTAAGTATTAACTATGGGTGAATATTCACTGTGGGTGAGTATTCGCTAGGGATGAGTATTCACTGTGTGTGAGTATTCACCGTGGGTGAGTATTCACTGTGGGTGAGTATTCACTATGGATGAATATTCACTGTTGGTGCGTATTCACTTTGAATGAATATTCACTGTGGGAGAGTATTCACTGTGGGTGATCGCCTGCGGCGGTGCAGGTGACGGTGACGTCGTGTTTACTGGAACAGCTCACCTCGCTCATCACCATATCTCCATGGCAACACCAATTAGCATTCATTTGCATTCTGCAGAAGCGTGCGAGACACTTCATACCCCACCCCCCTCTGCCCCGTCTTCAGCAGGGGGGGGGGGCAGTCTCCCTGCTGCCACGCGAGTCCTGGGGGGCTCCTGGCCGAGTTCCCGGCACTCCAGGCCTGGCGAACGCGTCTCTCTCTCTCTCTCCACTCACCGCTCAATCTGAACTCGTCGTCTCTCTCCATCTCAGTCGTCAACAGCCTCACCACCACCACCACCACTCCCCACTCACACTCCACTCACACTCGTCAACAACACAAAAGTGAGAAATATGTATAATCGGCGACGTTTTTCGGCCAATGGCTCTTCTTCACCACGCTTCAACAGACGGACAGGAGCGATAGTTTCGTAACGGCTGGGGATCGCGCTTTACACCACGGCGCCTGATGAGAATTTTTTTTTTTTTAAAGAGAACCGTTTTCTGACTACCAGTTTGTTGTTGTTGTGAAATAACCATATGAAAGGTTACCTAGTCGTAGACATATTGAGTGCTCTCCAAGAACCCTTCAAGGACCCAAAACACAATTATTGCGACTCATTCATTTAATGTTTTTATCTATTAAAAGTAACGGACGGTACTAGAATGTAACTCGCCCAATGCATTGTGGGAAGGTTCGTTCTGGTGGGCGACAAAGCAAAGGCGCGTCCCCAGCAGTAAATTCCTGCACCCCCCCCCAATCACCATTAAGATCGAATAAATTAAGCTCCCATGTATTGCTAAGACAGAGAAGTCCTGATGGGCTTTTGTCGTTGTTGTTATTTATGGTTTTTTGTGCACCGCTACCAACGCAACGTATCTTCTTTGGTTCTTTCGGTAAAGTCACGTAGAATGAGAATAAAATAATAAATTGATAAAATAAAATAACACAATAATATTCTCACGACGTTTCGGCCACAACACAAGCGGCCTTCATCAGGTGAAGGGACGAGACTGTCTGGTAGGACAGCGCTGGAGTGAAAGAGCCACGTTCAGATCAACTTTAGGTGCTAAAGTTGAGGGCGCTTTGTTCCTCTCACACAGCTTAAAGGCCGTGATCTGAACGTGGCTCTTTCACTCCAGCGCTGTCCTACCAGACAGTCTCGTCCCTTCACCTGATGAAGGCCGCTTGTGTTGTGGCCGAAACGTCGTGAGAATATTATTGTATTATTTTATTTGATCAATTTATTATTTTATTCTCATTCTATGTGACTTTACCGAAAGAACCAAAGAAGATGAATCATTGCAGTCACGAAAGCTTTAAATCGAAATTCAACGCAACGTAATCAAATCATTCAGATGAGGCCTCTGTTTATTTTGGGTTGTTTTTCTTCCCATCGTGTTTTTGTATTGTTTGTTGTCGTAACATCGCTCATCGGATTCCTCCAGTACAAATACATCTTCTGATTCTGATGTTGACAATTTTCTCTATTTTTTTTACTTCTATCGTTGTGTTTTTTTTAATTGTTTTTTTTGTTTGTTTTTGAAACATGCTGACCCGTACCAGACTGTGGACGTCTGTGATAAATGAGCTTCGCGGCTCATCGGATTCCTCCGGTCTAAATCAAGATTCTGAATAGAAAAGGATTCCGACATTCACCCTGGCGGTGGTCGTGCGTGGCTGTGCTTGCATGTGACCCCTGCCTGCAGTCCAGAGCGCTGTGGAGGTGGGAGCGGTGTTGGCGGATCACGCAAAGATGCCGTGAAACTAACTGGCCTTGGAAGCCACAGCGAGCGTGACTCCCTCGCCTTGGAGTCACGGTCATTTATGTCCGCGATGAATTGTGGTGCTCGAATGATTAATTGTCGATAGCTCAGCCATCCAACACAGACGGCCGCTGCATCGCGAGCTTTCAGATGCGCTTTCTGCGGCCGTCTGGAAGGCACCTCCTCCCGATATCAGGAAATCACCAGAGCTATGCACTTTAAAATCATCTCCATTGAAAAACGCATTTCTTTATGACTGCTTTTTGCATTTGGCTTGTTGTGATCCCCCCCCCCGCACCTCCGATTAGCACGGCTGACTATGTACGCTGCGAAAGAAGTTCAACATAGAGGTACATACGTAACATTCCGTTCAGAGTTGGTGCCTGGAGGTGGTCACATTCCCCGCCTCACCACGAGATAACGGGAGAGCAAGTGGATTCACCTCCATATGTTTCCATCCGTACGGAGTATTGAGCGTTGTCCTCACTACCCCAAAGCTCCCCGCAGCCTCGCACGCGTGGGGTATCCTCCCACGTGTACAAAATCACGCCTCACCACTGGCTTTCGACGAGCATCCCGAAGCTAGGACCGCAGAGCTTGGGAAATTGGCGGTTGTGACTCTGCCTTCCCGTTCTGTCCCAGCAATACTCGGTGCGCGTCACAAAGCGATTGCCGCTTTCGCTCAAAATCTACCACCCGTTCGGATCGCAAAACGATCCCGCACGCGCCGCACGCGCCCGATGATTGACGGACAACGCGCGTATCAGTCATCAGGCGTTCGCAGCACGTGACGGCTCGAAGGCTCTCTCCGTTATGAAGGTTTCCATTCGCCCCCCCCCCCCCCTCCGAAACGTCGCCTACTTATAAACACGTGGTTCCTACCAGGGCAGTGTTGGGGACGAATGTGCTTGCATGCGTGTGTGCCAACTGCGCGATTTGCACTTTGCACCACTGCCAACAGCAGCATGTCACACACGCAACTAATATAAAAATATATACGCGATGAGCACGTCTCACGTGACGCAGAGGGTTATAAAAACAAAGGAGTGAGAGAGGAGTGGGATGCAGTGGGGGTGGAGGGTGGTGGGGGGCAAGCCGAGGGGGGGGGGGGGACGACTTCCTCAGCGTCAGCAGCAATCAGGGATAAGGCGAAGGATGCAGATTGAGCGGTGACAACAACACAGGTGATGGGGACCCCAGGGGTGGTGTGTGGTGTGTGTGGTGTGTGGTGTGTGTGGTGTGTGTGTGTGGTGTGTGGCGTGTGTGTGGTGTGTGTGGTGTGTGGTGTGTGTGGTGTGTGTGGGTATTATGTGTGGAGTGTGTGTGGTGTGTGTGTGGTATGTGTGGCGTGGGGGTGGTGTGTGTGTGGTGTGTGTGGTGTGTGTGTGGTGTGTGTGTGGTGTGTGGTGTGTGTGGTGTGTGTGGTGTGTGTGGTGTGTGTGTGTGTGGTGTGTGTGGTGTGTGTGTGTGTGTGTGGTGTGTGTGGTGTGTGTGTGTGGTGTGTGTGTGTGGTGTGTGGTGTGTGTGTGTGGTGTGTGTGGTGTGTGTGTGTGGTGTGTGGTGTGTGTGTGTGGTGTGTGTGGTGTGTGTGGTGTGTGTGTGTGTGTGTGGTGTGTGTGTGTGGTGTGTGTGGTGTGTGTGGTGTGTGTGTGTGTGGTGTGTGTGTGTGTGGTGTGTGTGGTGTGTGTGGGTGTTGGGTGGTGTGTGTGTGTTTTGTGTGTTGTGTGTGTGGTGTGTGGTGTTGTGTGTGGTGTGTGTGTGAGGTGTGTGTGTGTGTGGTGTGGTGTGGTGTGTGTGTGTGGTGTGTGTGGTGTGTGTGTGTGTGGTGTGTGTGTGTGTGGTGTGTGTGGTGTGTGTGTGTGTGTGTGGTGTGGTGTGTGTGTGTGGTGTGTGTGGTGTGTGTGTGTGGTGTGTGTGGTGTGTGTGTGGTGTGTGTGGTGTGTGTGTGTGTGGTGTGTGTGGTGTGTGTGGTGTGTGTGTGGTGTGTGTGTGGTGTGTGTGTGTGTGGTGTGTGCGTGTGGTGTGTGTGTGTGGTGTGTGTGGTGTGTGTGTGGTGTGTGTGTGGTGTGTGTGTGGTGTGTGTGTGGGTGTGTGGTGTGTGTGGTGTGTGTGTGGTGTGTGTGTGTGGTGTGTGTGTGTGGTGTGTGTGGGTGTGTGGTGTGTGTGGTGTGTGTGGTGTGTGTGTGGTGTGTGGTGTGTGTGGTGTGTGTGGTGTGTGTGTGGTGTGTGTGTGTGTGGTGTGTGTGTGTTGTGTGTGTGGTGTGTGTGGTGTGTGTGGTGTGTGTGTGTGGTGTGTGGTGTGTGTGTGGTGTGTGTGGTGTGTGTGTGGTGTGTGTGTGTTGTGTGTGATGTGTGTGTATGATGTGTGTGATGTGTGTGTTGTGTGTGTGTTGTGTGTGGTGTGTGTGTGGTGTGTGTGTGGGTGTGTGGTGTGTGTTGTGTGTGTTGTGTGTGGTGTGTGGTGTGTGTGTGGTGTGTGTGGTGTGTGTGTGTTGTGTGTGTGTTGTGTGTGTTTGTTGTGTGTGTTGTGTGTGTTGTGTGTGTGTTGTGTGTGGTGAGTGGGTGTGTGGTGTGTTGTGTGTGTGTGTTGTGTGTGTTTGTTGTGTGTGTGTGGTGTGTGTGGTGTGTGTGGTGTGTGTGTGTTGTGTGTGGTGTGTGTGTGTGGTGTGTGTGGGTGTGTGGTGTGTGTTGTGTGTGTTGTGTGTGGTGTGTGGGTGTGTGGTGTGTTGTGTGTGTGGGTGTGTGGTGTGTGTTGTGTGTGGTGTGTGTGTTGTGTGTGGTGTGTTGTGTGTGTTGTGTGTGGTGTGTGGGTGTGTGGTGTGTTGTGTGTGTGTTGTGTGTGGTGTGTGGGTGTGTGGTGTGTTGTGTGTGTGGTGTGTGGTGTGTGTGTTGTGTGTGGTGTCTTGTGTGTGGTGTGTTGTGTGTTGTGTATGGTGTGTGTTGTGTGTGGTGTGTGGGTGTGTGGTGTGTTGTGTGTGTGGTGTGTGGTGTGTTGCAGTGTGGGAGCGAGAAGCCAAATCAATGAGAGCCTGGGGCAATGATTCGCTTCGCTGTTTCACACCGCCCCCATTGCGCACCCAAAAAAAAGACAAAGATCCCCCGTGTAACCTTAACATACTGTAGGGGCAAGTGCTGTTAGCGAGCACCTATAAAGGCCGGCACGGCACACGAGGGGGGTGGGTGGCCAACACCACGCCCGGCCGCCTTTGTCTCCCCAGTGGCGATGTTTACACATCGCACCAGGTACTCATTTAAGACTGAGTCGACATAGGGGAGGCCCAGGACCGGTTCAGATAATCGTCACCGGTGTTGGCCGCCAGGTATCTTAGCGCAGCGCGCTAACCGCTACACCACCGCCTTAAAAGTAAAACAATACTTGCACGTATTAGGCGACGTTTCGGGCAATGACCTTGCTTCATGGCACACACTCGAGAGACCGAGTGGACGCAAGTTGGAGACTGCACGTTACACCATGGCGCGTGATAAGAGTTGTACTATCTTGATTTGAAGCTTTCGTCGTACTATCTTTAAAAAAAATTGTTTTGATGGATTCCTGTACGCCCAGAGCGTCGAGCTGGATCGTGCGTTGTGACGTCACGCCCCCACCCCCATCCACCCCGTGGCCATGGATCGCTCTCATTTTATCACACTGTACAAGAATAAAGTTTGGCTGGCTGACTGACTGACTGGCTAGCTGGCTGGCTGGAGGGTGGGACAGAGGGTCACGTTCAAAGGGCGTGCGGGCTGCTAATTAAATCTAAAAAAAAAATGTGTCCTGATAAACAGAGGCCATGACCTCACCTCGAAAGAAGCGTGTAAAAGTTGCCAAACAATCCGCAACCAGTGCCAGCAGCAGCAGCAGGAGGCATTTGATTAAAAAATCCGGTTACCGATTCAAATCCGACTATCGATTCGAAAATCCGGCTGCCGATTCGGCGTTCGCAGTGGATGTGAAGTTGGTGATAGATTTGCTCATGATGGTGGTCGTTTTTCTAGTGGTATAGCGTACGACGATTGTCTAATGTCGCCTGATGAAGCTAGTTGTAATTACTGGCGAAACGTCGTACTCAGTTAAAAAAAAAACTGTATTATGGATGATATTGGTCGCGAAAACCTACGTGTTAAACTGATGGTGGTGGTAATATTGAAAACTAATTTCTCATATTGAAAACGAATTTCTCTTACAACTGCTTTTTGTGTTTAGTTTGTCATCCTTCTCCCGGACCTCCGACTAGCACGGTAGGCAACGTACGGTGCGAAAGAAGTTCAACAAACATACACATTGATAGTGATGTTGGTGTTCACTGTGACATTGGTGATTATAATGGTGATGCTCGTGATTATGATGGTGATAGTGTTGATGCTCATGATAGTGGGGAGAGGAGAAGGAGGGGTATGAGTGGCGGGGGGGGGGCGGGACGCAAGCAGGAGCCGCACACGGAGAGATCTGAAACCGCGAGTGTCCTGAAGTGTTGCGAGGGATGAGGTGGCCGGGTGCGCGGTGGGGAGATGAAGCGACGTCACGTGATCTAAAGAGGGACTAAGGGGGGGGGGCGGGATTCATCCCGGATCCGTGACGGATGAGAGGTCAGGGGGGTGCGGTGGGTGACCTCATCGCCGAAGAGCGCAGTTTACCGGCACCGCGGTCTCTGTTCTCTTTGACGGAGATTCAGGCCGGCGTTGGGCGGCCAGTGACACGCAGCCAAGGCGTCTGTGGCTACACGATAAGAGCCGCTCCGTATGCTTGACGTCGCGAATCCGCTTTATCAATTCATAGCAGCAGCAGCAGCAGCAGTACGATTGTGATCAGAAGCAGCAGTAGCAGGAGCGTAACAATCATTAGCAACGGCAGTGGTAGCAGCAGCATCTTAATTATCAGCAGTAGCGGCAACAGCAGCAGCAGAAGAAATATTAAAATCACCATGAGCAGCAGCAATATCAGCAATAATAATATTAAACTGTGGTGGTGGTAGTAGTAGTAGCATTATCAACAAGAGCAGCAAAGGTCTCAGCAGTAGCAACTGTGTCAGTGGCACCCTCATCATCATCATCTTCGTAAACAGCGTCATTGAGCAACAGAAGCATCAATATTGACAGAATCATAATCATCATCAGTCGCTAAAGCAAATTCATCTTCGTCACCATCATCATCATCAGACAGACACACAGACAGATGAAGGAACCGACAGACAGACACATACGTCTTTACACACAGAAGACAAATACAGAGATACCCCATGTAGCCTTTAACAAGCTGTTGGGGAAAAGTGAGCGCCTATGAAGGCCGGAACGGCACACGAGGTGGTGGGTGAGCAGCACCACGCCCGGCCGCCTTTGTCCCCTAAGTGGCGATGTTTACACTCGTCGCGGCAGGTAATAATTTAAGGCTGAGCCCATCCAGGGGAGGCCCACGGCCGGTTCTTGATAATCGTCGCTGGCTCGCGGGAATCGAACTCGGGTCGCCAGGTTCGCGAGTCTTGGGCGTTTCCCATGCTTACAAACAAACAAGCGTCACGCGCGCAGACACCCAGCGTCGATATTTAACGAGGCCAGTTCTGCATGAAGTCCGCATCCCCCACCACCGCCCTCCCCGCCACTGCCAAGGCAGCCCCTTGAAATATTAAAAAATAAAATCCACTCGGCGTGTCCACGGGCTCGAAGACTCAGCGCGCGCGGCGCGATGTTTAGCTCCTGCTCCCGGGGGGAGGGGGACGCTTCGTTATTCACAGCACGAGTGCGGCGATTTCGATGACTCAAAAAACAACGTTGCTCAATAACAATATTGCAACGGCGTAAAGCAAATTCTGTTCAACGCTCTACGTACGACGCTCCCGGGCAACGTTGCCCTTGTTCGCGGCAGATTCCCGAACCCTCTCTCGGCTACGCAGAAGAGGCATCGCCCCAAATATAGAACAACATGAATCTGCCTAAAATACGTCTAAAAGCGATGTAAAAAGATGACGTTTCGGGCAATGGCCCATCTTCAAATAAACACGGACTGTGTTGTGGATTTGCCTTGCAGTATAAAATGCGTTGTTGTACCGTCCTCCTCTCCAAAGTCGACGCTCCCCGTGCGTCAGCAACCTGAAAGTGACCAGGCTGGTGTGGTACGGTCAAAATACGTCCGTGGCGTACGGGGAGGCCCTCGTCCAGCAGTGGACTGACATATGGGGGCTGTCACATGCACATTAGGGGCGGGAGTGGAGGGGGGGGGCGGTTAATCGATAACGATAATAATCGATATAATCATCCCCCCCAGCAGGCAATTGTCGAGAACGGCAGGGGGAGGGGAGGGCGGGGGTGGAGTGGTGGGGGGGGGCAGGCGGCACGGGGAGTCACGTGGTCACGGTGGGGGAGGCGGTTAATCGATAACGATAATAATCGATATAATCGTCCCCCCCAGCAGGCAATTGTCGAGAACGGCAGGGGGAGGGGAGGGCGGGGGTGGAGTGGTGGGGGGGGGGCAGGCGGCACGGGGAGTCACGTGACCACGGTGGCATTATCTGGCGAGATTGCAGATTTGACCTATTTCTTCTCTTCACGTCGAATTCGTGTTTCGCTGGAAATTCCCCGCGGAAATTTGTGGAAAGCGGATTGGGAAAAAAATATATAAATGTATATATAAACAACCCGGCTCCAACACACGCGCGTACACACACGTACGCGCGCGCCTTTTGCCTTTGCACAAATCTACAGACATACGGCGACAGACAGAGAGACAGACTGATGATGATTGTGTACATAATGATGATTAGAATTGTTGAAGCTTACGATGATGATGACTACGATGGTGATGGCTGCTGATGACGGTTCTGGTACTCCTTGTTGTAATTTTGATGTTGCTGCATTGCATGCCGGTGCAGATGCCGGTTCTGCTATTGCTGTTGTTGCTTGCGGATGATGATGCCAATAATACCACAACGCAATGACCAGATATCTCTTCTCTTGTAGCTACTCAGCAAGGAATGGACTGTGTGTGTTTCCCGGGCTGCCGAACACGAGATTGAAGCTTCGAGAACAGCATGCGTCGCAGTACGGAATCGCACCGCGTGATTTTGCACCGTCTATCACTCTCGTAGGTTGCCCTTTATTTAAGTGGGAAATAATCATCGATGTCCCAAGATGTAATGCAAGATCCAACGTGGAACGTTTTGGGTACAACGTTGGGCCAACGTTCATCCAACGGTTACAACCGCATGCCAACGTGCGCCCAACGTTGGTGTCTTTACCGAGTGATGTTTGTTGTTTGGGATGTTTTTGCCAATTCACAAAAATCTGACTACGGTAGTCTGGTGCAGGGTTTCCTATCGGCACAGGAATAGTAATCCAGATTTTTCGAATGTTATTGATTCGAATAGTTTGAAAATAGTTTTTATCGTTTTCTCAAGCAGAATTGTTTCCTTGTAGCTGCCACGAGTGGCGTCTTTCCAACGGTGTCCACATTGTAACTGTGATTGGATAGAATCAGTCACATGTAGCTTATTTCACGGTAACGTACTGATTGTGACTGATCGTGATTGGATAATTCAGTCTGTCACTTATACCATTCACCCTTATACAGCAGAAATTTCTCCACAACTCTAGCTGTTGCCTGATGATGCTAGTCGTGATTTTTTTGGCGAAACGTCGTACTCGAATTGTACATTTTGTGGGTTTACTCTCCATAACACCGGTTTGCTGTACTAGTAACAAATTGGAATGTTTTGCTTTTTGACAAACCTTACTTGGCGATCTAACCCCAAAAAACGTATATTATGAACCCAAATATATTATCATTATTGTGTAATTAGCGCACGATTCGCAAAAATATAATAATCGATAGTTGTGTTCGTGAGCGTAAACATCGATGCGAATCCATAAATAAATAAATCATTACACTCTAAGCCTATTGCTGCTACAAATTACTTGCTATACTGCCACTTAAGGCCACTTTTATATTATGATTTTTTTCCCAGCATTATTTATACACTTGCTTTAGTGATGCTGCTGTTGTTGTTGCATTGTTAACAAACAGACAAAAACTCAACACATTTGTCAATAACACAGTAGTCTAACAACGCAAATGCCCTTCATAGCACGCAGATCATTCATATGAAATGAAGAAGGGCTATTGCCCGAAACGTCGCCAATTATATATATATTTTTACATTTTAAGACAATGCTATTGACGAATGCATTTTTTTGTAAACATACATTACTTCATGATAATAATAATAACAGCGAAACATAATAACGACCAGTTGCATGTGAAACTTATTATATCGTCTCTTGATTGGCCGACACTCGCAGGGGCCTTTCAGGGAATCCCCGTACATACAACGGTCGGGCCGGGTCTCCCAGCCAATCAGAGGGCTCCGCGTGGCCTTCAATACATTTCAAAAGATTAACCCGGGAGAATCCACCCTCCCCCTCTCCCTTCCCCCGTGTGCGCTGTTGCAAATGAGGAGACATTTAAAAAGAAATAAAAGCTGAAAGAGATTAAATAAAAGGCGTGGTCTTTCAAATGCTAATTCGAATCTCGTGGGGGGGGGGGGGGGCGGGGAGGAGATGATGTTTTTTTCCGCGGTATATTTCGAGGGGGGGGGGGGGGGACGTTGATGAGGGATTTCGCCAGTGCTAGGAAGACAAAGGCGGCCGGGCAACGTGTCGGTGGTGTTATGGCAACTCCACCCCGTCTTGCGCCCGGTGCAAGCCTTAATAGTTGCTCGCGAACAGCACTTCTCATGATGCCCCCAACGGGCATAACAATCGATGAAAAAGGCATCGTTGCGAATGCACGTGTCACACATGCCGAGTCAATCTATAAGTGGCCCAGAGCCACTATTATCATCACTACGATCTCATTTAAATTTTAATACGAGTTTTTGCCTGGACATCTGTGGGGGAAAAAAAAGAGCTTCATAGCTCATCGGATTCCTCGAGTACGGACAAAGATTATGATAAAGACTCTTGATCTTCGTGATCCATGGAGCCCAGGGTGCGGGTGGCGATGTGGGTTTCAGGGGGCTCCTGGGTCACCGCGATGAATCCAGAGACCTCTGATTTCAATTCTCGGCCACGGTGAACGTCAGTGGCAAACGCGCGACCCCCCTCTCCCCCCTCATCTCCCACCCCCAACACACACAATCGACACGGCGAGAGGAAGGCCTTCATCCAGCAGTGGATATTTAACACGCACATATCAATCCCCAATTTTAATTTTTTATTCGAGGCTGTTATGAATGTCAGCGAGACGTGTGGCATCATCTCGGGTGGCAGGTGCCAAGTTGTTGTTTTGGTAACAACGCAGCATTGAGAGAAGGCGGTAGCGACCTTCATCTAGCAATGGATTGACCACGGAGGAAATGTATAATTATAATAATGATACTACTACTACGTGTAATGATGAGATGGCCACATATGTGGTTGTTTGTATATAGGTATTTACGAATACCGTAAAGCTTATATATGTGTGTGTCTTTGTATATATGTGTGTGTGTGTGGTTCTACAAATACGCTCGCTTCATATGCGCTGCATAATCTGTCTCGTCTGCTCGGGTCCGTCGTCATGGCAACTGATAGTTACCGGGGAAACGCGCGGCGAGTCACGTGAGCGTAGAGAGTGGGAAGGGGGGGGGGCTGAGTGGCGGGGGGGGGCAACCGAGGTGGGTTGAGTCGTTGTGGAGGATTGAGAAGAGGGTGGGGGTGGATGATGAGGTGGGGGGGTGGGGGGTTGAATGGGGAGGGTGGAGGAGGAGGAGGAGGAGTTGATTTGACGGGGGGGGGGGGGTTATGGGGGAGGGGGTGATGTGGGTTTGAGGACGGCGGGCGGAGGAGGGGCGATTGAGGGAGGGGGTGGATGGGAGTCATTGATGGGGGGTGTGGTGGGGGTAACGGAGCGGGGGGTGCAGGGTGGGGTCGGTGGGCGTGGCAGAGGGGGTGAGGGGGGAAGGATTGAGGGGGGACGAGGAGGATGAAGGGTGGGGGGCGAGTAGCAGGGATGGAGGATGAGAGGGGGCGGGGTCGTGATGATGGGTGTGGGGGATGGGGGAGGGAGACGTGCGCGCGGACGAGGTGGGGGGGGGTGGTGCACGCGCGCCTCTAACAAAGGCACCGACTCCATTAAAAAGGAGCCATAATTCCTAGGCACGTAACAATACATTTCGTCATCAGCCGTGTTCGATCCACTGCTGGGTGAATGTCTCCGCCGAGACGCCGCCACCTCTGTCACGGTCCATGCCAGTGTAATAATCCACAACCGGCGTCTGCACATGGACTGATCCCATCGCTCCGTCTCCATGGGGGACGTCGGCTCGCGGATCCCTTTCTCCGTCGCTCGGCTGCCGCTCGGTTATTCTTGGCCATCGGTCAATTAATTTAATGCATCTATTAAATGCGATTGTTGCGCTCACGGCCTACGTACGTATAATCAGGCGCCCGACGATAATCTAATATTTACAATGTATTAATTAAATGTGTGTGTGTCAAACTGACGCAAATGAAATGACAGGCTTACTAAAAGTGAGGGTCTTTTTTGTTTTTACTATATACAGACATTTATCTGAGAGAGGCTCGGAAGACTTTTTAAATTTCCATAGTCAGCTGATTCCATGTCCCCTCCGCTCGTCCTCTTCGTCCCAATCTTCTCTCTCTGTTCCTCCTTCTCCCTGTGCCCAATCACGCTTTCAGTCCTTCTCTCTCCTTGCACCCATCCACTGGAATCAACTCTCCCTGTACATTGAACAGCACTGCCCAGTCTCAACACTGCCCATAGACTCAACACTGCACCATAGACACAACACTGCACCATAGACACAACACTGCACCATAGACTCAACACTGCACCATAGACTCAACACTGCACCATAGACTCAACACTGCACCATAGACTCAACACTACACCATAGACTCAACACTGCCCATAGACTCAACACTACACCATAGACTCAACACTACACATAGACTTAACACTACACCATAGATTCAACACTGCACCATAGACTCAACACTACACCATAGACTCAAAACTACACCATAGACTCAACACTGCACCATAGACTCAACACTGCACCATAGACTCAACACTGCCCAGTCTCAACACTGCACATAGACTCAACACTGCACCATAGACTCAACACTGCACATAGACTCAACACTGCACCATAGACTCAACACTACACCATAGACTCAACACTACACCATAGACTCAACACTGCCCGGTCTCAACACTGCCCATAGACTCAACACTGCACCATAGACTCAACACTGCACCATAGACTCAACACTGCACCATAGACTCAACACTGCACCATAGACTCAACACTACACCATAGACTCAACACTACACCATAGACTCAACACTGCCCATAGACTCAACACTGCACCTTAGACTCAACACTGCACCATATACTCTACACTGCCCATAGACTCAACACTGCCCATAGACTCAATACTGCCCATAGACTCAACACTGCACAACAGACTCAACACTACCCATAGACCCAATACTGCACCATAGACTCAACACTACCCATAGACTCAACACTGACCATAGACTATACAGGTCCCTGCAGGGTGGGCTGGTAGGAACATTGGAATTTTTCACTTCGTTAAAGTATTGAAAGGGGACGGACGGACGGACACATTAATCTATTGCAGGCTGGTACACTCAGTTTACAACTTCGTTCCTACCAGTGATACTGCACCATAGACTCAACACTGCACAACAGACTCAACACTGCACCATAGACTGAACACTGCACCACAGACTCAACACTACCCATAGACTCAACACTGCACCATAGACTGAACACTGCCCCTTAGACTCAACACTACCCCCCTTGTACATGAAGCAGTCTCCCTTCCTGAACATCCTTCCGTTCCTCTCTTTAAGCCTCACTTCTTATCCACTGCCCATCCTCTTCCCTCCCCTCGCCCCTCCACTCCTTCCCCGTCCCTCCCCTACCCTTGCGTGATCCCTTTGCATCCCCTCCGTCGCTGTCGCTCATTCCTCAACAGCTTCGTCGCACGCCCCTGCCATCGACGTCATTAAATTGCCATCGTCGTTTTGTAAGCTGTGTCAAGCTCGCTGAGCGTAGGCGCTCTCCATAAATATAAATTTTAATAGTCTACAGAAGCCAGGCACAATGGCATTTGTAATTATATCCATAATATATTTTGTTTTAGTTCGATCACGTAAATATGTGTTGTTAAACCCGCCACCACCCGACACAGCGAATCAGTAAGGTTTTTCACGTAAACAGAACATGCCAATTAGTTACTAGTACAGCACAGCAAAACACACCGGTGTGCTGTCCTAGGAAGGGGCCGTCCATAAATGACGTCACGCGATTTTGGACGATTTTTGACCCCCCCCCCCCCAATCGTCACACGGCGTCACAAAAAGTCAGACCCCCCCTCAAATATGACGTCACAAAGCTCTGCCCCCCCCCCCCAAAATATAAAACATGCTTCAAATCGCTTTAAACTATTGTCATTGTAGTGCATATTTAATGTGACGCTACACCCTGATGTTGTAAGAGAAAACATCAAAAAGTCTATTTAATTAAGTAGAACGTGTCGTCTATATTTATTTAAAGTTGCGAATTTTGATGTGACGTCACATTTCTCAAACCCAACCCGCCTCGTCACACATCGTCACAAATGTCTGACCCCCCCCCCCCCAGGTGCGTGACGTCATTTATGGACGGCCCCTAACGTAAAAACCCAAACCTAGTAACTAGTACAGCACACCGGTGTCGGGTGGTGGCGGGTTAAACGACACATTTACATTCACGCGATCTAACCCAAACCACACCCCCCCCCCCCCTTTATTTTGGATGATATTGGTCTTGAAACTTCAAGTGTAAAACACGGACGTTCTGTCTGATTGACAGAACGTCCGTGTGTGTGCGTGTGTGATGACCGAAACAACAGCCCACCAAACCCGCCATGGTGCACGTGCAAACCCACAGTCGGGAAGCGTGTCCAAGGCCTCTTATTGGTGCAGGGAGGCCTCAAAGACGATTGGCTTAGGACGGAGCAATGAAATGATTGGGGGAGAAATTCAATCTTAAACAGGCGGGCAATGAGGGTTTCAACTGTAAGGGGGGGGAGGGGCAAACGGTTAACAACCGTTAGAGAAGGGGGACGCGGATTGGCCGAGGGGAATGAGGATGATCGAACCTTCCAGAAAGGGAGGGGGGGGGGGCTCGAGGGATATAAAAGGGGAAGAGCACACACGGTGAGGGGACGCTTTGAAGAGAAGACAGGCCTCGGGGATAGCGTTGGTGTCCACGATACAGGCTCTTGGGCATAAGCGAGGACGCGTGTGGGCGTCACTAGACACGTATGCGCTCGATGGTGGGGGGAAAACCTTTCTTAAATCCTTCTTGCCCGCGCGGTTGGTTGGACTCTTGAAAGCCAGCAGTGGCGCTAATTGTGATAATGGTTCGACTCAGAGTGAAGCTTTCCCTGGGGTGATCATTAATAATAACGATGGGTTTTTTTTATTCTTGGTT